ACCGAGAATCCTCTTAAGTTTTGGCTTGAAATGTAATTAACCACGGGGTCTTGCGCTCGTGGGAAACTGGATTCCACCATCTAATAAATACCACTTCAAGCTGATGTATCAAGTGGGGGAAACCTGTGACTATGATCAGGCCATGCATATTATTATCCATCGAGGTGCTTATACAAGAGCCGCTATCCTCCATGGTTAATTATATGTAGGGTCCAATCTGCTATTCCATTGGCCCGTTTGTGAGGAGCACGGAGGCCTGCGATCATCTTTATCCCTCAGAGTAGGTGCGATCGTATTCCCCTCTGTAATCCTATAACCGTAGCGGTGTCCTTTCAGAGGTCCATACTCATAAAACTTTATAAGAGTTTTTTTAGCATTCATTGAGTTATTTTCTTATAGAGAAAGCTTGAAGAGAGAGCTTTGGGCTAGGGATAGAAAGGGTGAAGTTTTTAAGAGAGGGAGAAGATCCTTGTGGGCTTCAAGGAAGTGTGAGAGGGGGCCTTTACATAGTTTCTTTGATGAACTTGCACCTTAGTTCCTCTAAGAGTTAAGGTTTGTTTTGAGGGAAGCTTTAGGAAGAAGACCTCTTTGGTGTCAATACACCTGATTACTCTGCCACACTAGAAAGGTGAAAATGAGTCTAGATTCTCTATACCACCAGGAAGATGAGGAGTCAAGATTTTCTACCTCACCAAGAGGGTGAAAAAGAGTCCAGGTTCTCCACCTCACAAAGAGCATGAAAAGGAGTCAAAGTTCTTCGCTTATGAAAGTATTACGATCCCTTACCATACTGGGTTGGTGGAAAAGAGTTTTTAAGGGCTTCTCTGCTTAGCTGTGGGGCTAAAGGAGAGTCAATAAAGACTTTAGTGTAATACTTGGAGAGGAGGACTCTGAGGAGTATACGTAGGTTATTATTTAACCTAACCATTATTAATCTGGTATGCTTATTATAATTTTTACTTTCTACATTTTTTTTGCATTTTATTTCCATTATAACTGCTTGGGAAAATTAGTTATTATTTCATATGGATGATTGTACAATACTAACATGCAAAATTGAACTGTTCATATTATACAATTGGTCATTCATACTAATGATCATATAATACTAATAGGTCAAATTTTACACATCGTATTAAATGATTTTTCCATCATATTATATGATCTTTGATGGCTTAATTGAATATTTAGAGATTTTTTAATACCTCTATTTAAGCTTTGCCATAAGACTTTGTAAGAGTCTTTTGAGCATTCATTGAGTTATTTTCTTTTGGACAATGTTTGAAGAGAGAGTTTTAGGCTAGGGAGAGAAGGGTTAGAGTTTGTAAGAGAGGGAAAAGATCCTTGTGGGGTTCAAGGGTGTGTTAGAGGGGGTTTTCATATGGTTTCCTTGGTGAACTTGCACCTGAGTTCCTCCAAGAGTCAAGGTTTGTCTTGAGGAAAGCATTGGGAAGAAGATCTCTTTAGTGTCAAAATACTAGGCTACTCTATTGCAACAGGGAAGATGAAAGTGAGTTCAAGTTTTTTTCTTCACCAGATGGTTGAAAAGGAGTCAAGGTTCTCTACCTCACTAGGAAGGTTAAGAGAATTCCAGGTTCTATGCATCACTGGGAGGGTGAGAAGGAGTCAAAATTCTCTTCTTGTGAAAGGATTAGGATCCTCTACCACTCTAGGTTAGTGGAAAAGAGTTTATAAGGGCTTCTCCGCTTAGCTGTAGGAGCTAAAGGAGAGTCACTAAAGATTTTAGTGCAATACCTAGAGAGGAGGACTCTAGGGAGTGGATGTAGGTTATAGTTTGAGTGAACCACTACAAATCTTGTGTACTCATTCTAATTTTTACTTTGTACTTTATTTTTTTGCATTTTATTTTAAATATAACTACTTGAGAAAATTGATTATAATTGCTTTGTTTCATATATCAATATATCATCATAGTTAGATCAATATTATTGATAAACTCATTCGCTTTCGCAAGTATTTAAAATTTGGTATTTTTAATTTCTAAAAAATATTTCAAAAATATTATCATTATTATTTTAAGTTAAAAAAATATTTAAATTACTAATTCACCCCCCTCCCCCCACTCTTGGTCAGTCTCGAGCTAGTTCCTTAGGGTCTAATAACCTTCACGGACTTTCACCTCTAATCACATGATCAATTTGAGAATGATTATTATATTGTTGACCTCATTATTTGAGGTCAATTTCCCCAAATC